CACCGGCTCGCTCCCCCCTAGTTCCGCCAGTGACCGTAATGTATATATATGTATGTATATGTCACAGCCCCGGTTGGAAAATGTGAATTATATAGGTCTCTGTACCAAAAGTTACCATGTTTTAGACGGTCCGCATGGTAGAAGCACTGGACCATTTTAGTTTAGGTCCTGAGGTCGATTCCTTACCTCAACGTAAATTTTTGTTTAAGCTCCTTAGTTTACCATTTTAGTTTATACCATTTTAGTTTAGTTTAAGCTCCTTAGCCCTCCATTTCAGATGTCTTTTGTTTGTAGTACTCTGTATTTTGTTTTGAATTTTTTTTACCTTTGAGTATTTTCAGCTCTTTCGCATTCTTATTTTCCATTACAAACGTAACTAGTCCGTATACGCCATTTTTTGTTTCTTCTCATATTGATATCAGATTTGCTTTTTCTTTTTATTTAGTACAATGGCATAAATATGACATACTATCGTACTACGTATAAATTTTGTAACATTCGTACTAAACCAAAGAAAAAGTAAATGTTTATGCTAAAATTAAAGTTACATATAAACATTTTAAAGTACCATGATAAGTGTGTATAAAGTTGAAACAAATTCACTCCAAAGTTATGATCGAACATAACAAAAAAAGACTTAAACTAAAAATGTACTTCGTATATATTTAAATGCATATGTATTATATTATATTTTAAACATAAATATATTACTCATTTTCTATGCTTTCATGATGTATATTTTATGTTAAGGTACTAATTAAATGAATATATCTAAATGACTCGAGATATACCTAAAATGTTGTTAATTAGATTATAAAGTGGTTCTATTATTTGACAAATAAATTAAAATTGAAGTGTTCTGCAGTTATAATGAGAACATTTTTTTAAACATACCATATATATATTTATGGAATTTGGTTCAAATGAGAACATGATCTAAAAAGAGAAATGGAAACAACGTAACTCTGGAGCGTTGGATTTGAGTATACCGTGCATTATGTGAAACAAAAATGTGCACTATCATATATTAGAAAATGTGCATGTGAACTGTGCAGTTTACACACTATTGTGGACATTCGACTTTTGCATTATTTTTATTTTAAATGTGCATCATTTTGGAGTGTTCTCATTCTTTAAAAAGTGTTCTCACCACAACTGAAGCATATATTTATGTATGTATATATACATATATGTAAAGAAAAAATTCCGTATGTGTGCGTATACATAAGCACCCCCTCAAATTTTTCTCTGGTTCCGCCACTGAATCGAAGCATCTTCCGTGCTAGTAGTTGAGCTTAAAGTGATTATTGTAGCGACGAAATGTGCAGTTGGCGAAGGCTTCGTTGGTTGTCAGGTGGACATGGATTCATCAATGGCACTGGCCTTGCTGGGAGACAATGAGATACGAAGGTGGTCGAATATACTTCAGGAAAGTGGACTGATTGCGAATAGGAAAGGTCTAGTATATGGACATACGATGAGGGAGGGTAATAGGTAATAAGGTAATTTGGGTTTCCCACTACTTCGCAGCGGATCACATGAGGAATATTTTTACCAATCCAATTTCGTTCTATTCCCACATGTGCCAGGAGGGCCTACTTCATGGACATATTTGGTATAGCTAGGGATGTCAAAAAAAACCGACCCGCAATGACCCGCCCTGGCCTGAGACATTTGGGGCGGGTCTGCCCCGCCCCGTCTTGCAAATGGGGCGGGTCCGCCCCGCCCCGCCTATACAATGGGGCGGGTCCGGGTATTAGAATTGACCCGTTTCGCCCCGACCCGACCCGACCCGCTCAATATATAAATATACACTTTTTCTTAACTTATACTACAAATATACTTCAACATACATATGTGTGTATACAATAAATCATAAATTCTTTGATCTTATAATATATGAATATATATTAGAATGAGATGCACGACGGATTATCAATGTCTTCTTTATATATATAGAATTTTAATACATTTATTCAATTATTAATATAACTAATTAGATTAACTATTCAAGTTTGAGTAATTTTTTCTTAATTTTTAAAATTTTTAGCGTATCATGAATTTGATTTAATATATTGAGTTTTAATTATTATTTAGAGATAAACATTATGTAGATTCAATTGGTAACAACTTCCTTCAAATAAAAATAAAAACTAGCTAATTAGGTTGCGGCGGGGCGGACCCGCCCTGCCCCGCCCCGCATGGGGCGGGTCATGGGTCAACAAGTTTGGACCCGTGCAGGTCACGGGGCGGGTCCGGGTCTTGCAATACCCGCCCCAGCCCAACCCATTGCCATGCCTAGGTATAGCTTCTATTAGAATTTAATTTTCCTTTGGGTAGTTATTTTGGGCCACGCCTAGCCCCCAATGTTTCTTATGAGTTTGTTCTTTTTTTATGTTCGTAAATTGGGTAAAGCCCACTCCCCAATTTTCTGCTTTACTTCAATCGGACTGGTTTTTATTGTATTTCTAATAGGAAATGTCCTTTCTGGAAGAGGTTTTGGTATAATCCCCTTCTCCTGTGCTATCTCGTATCCTTACTCCTTAGTAAAATTTGGCAAAAGTTTCTTGGCAAAAAAATGTAGAATTTAGCGCGTCAAATTAAAAGTTTCATGCTAGCTAAAAAAAGTTGACTGATAACTCCAGTTAAACAAAAATATGGATTATCAAAATTGACCTCCGTCAATTAGAACTTTGCCATGTTTGACCGGCGCGCGATTAATAAAGTAAAAATTGTGTGGTTGAGGTTTGTGCAGAGGAGAGAGAATCAACTGGAACCACAAATTCTTTATTTAGAAGGCAAGTGGCAAAGTTAGTGGGACGTCCAAAAAGGAAAAGTTGGTAAAATTTTAAGGGACGGAGGGGGTATATAATAATATAAAACATTTATTTTTCTGACACTTAAAATGTGTTTCTGATATATGACGTGCACTTTGTCGTGATGTGCACTCAAAATAATATTTAATACAACGATTATACGTAGTATAATGAAGTAAGGTTCGTATCCACAGGGAAAGGAATAATTCTCTTTTTATAAAACTAGTAAATAAAAGGGGGGTTTTCGGATTGAATGATTTAATTAAAATTAAACACGAAGATGAACGAGTTATGTGGTTTAATTAATGAGAAGGAGACTTGGTTTTGCTTTTATCCACTTAATGAAATGTTCGTCGATCCCGGTTATATCTTTAACTATCTTCCTCTCGAATACTCAATCGAGGAGTATATCTAGTTCATCGAGGGTAGTTATTAATAACGAGAAGCGTTCATTAATAAAACTTACTACCGAGTCAATATAGAACAAGCGCCGTATATTAACTTGATAGTAGCAATAAAATCAAGATGAAAACGATTGAGATTGATAACCTCAACACAAGCGGTTTATTGGTTTAATCAATATAATTAATTCCCCCTGGCTTATTAACCATGAGAAGCGTGCATTAACAACCCAAGTTTACTACCGTGAAAGGACCGAATTAATAACAAGCGTATTAACCGACCGATTCTAGTAATAATTAATATATAGAACAAGACTAGTTGATACTTTAAGTAATGCTCAATATATATATTAATATGGAATAAGAATAGGAAGTAATTAATATTCAAGGAAGAAGATTAAAGAAAATAACTCACAACCTACAAATCATTAAGCTTCAAAGTAGCAAAACCAAGATGGAAGAATTTAGCTCCTCATTTGGAGACTAAACATGATGAAAAATATAAAGAAAGAACTTGTCTAAATTGAGCTAAGAAGTATATGTGAATTGGTGATCTATTGTGAAGGTAAAGGGGGTGTATTTATAGGCTTTTGGGATGGGACTCGAGTACTCGATCGGGTATATACATAGTACCCGATCGAGTATGTGTGAAATGCCAGATTCGAGGTATACTCGATCGATTTTGGCTTAAAAATCAAAGGTGTACTCGATCGAGTATATATTCATACTCGGTCGAGTATGTGTAGAAAGTGATATTCGAGCCATACTCGACCGATTTCGGGTTTAAACTCAAAGGCATACTTGATCGGGTATGTCGGTCTACCCGATCGAGTATAGACACTGAATCGTGGTCAAAATCTTCCCGGCATGTTCCTTTGTCTTCGGATCCGATCTGATTTGAAGTTTCAACCTTATACCCGATCGAGTATAGGTAATACTCGACCGAGTATAGGCAAAAATCAGGATTTTCCCTTTTTGTCTTAGCTTGTGATTTGCACCTTCCTTCCACTTGTGGGGTTCACCAACCATCCTTTGAGTGAAAGTAGACCCGTTTGAGCTCAGAATAAACCTAATCTAAACAATTTACAAGAATTTAACAAACTAAACTATTACACCAAAAGTGTGTAATTTCCGAAATATTAAACAACCAAAACTAGCTAAAAACATAAACATACACACGGAAATTACAAGTGTATCAATATACTAAATACAGAGATATAATCATTTGTTTTAGTGGCCGTCTCCCTGCATGTATTAGAGTTTTGCAAATTTCTGCATTGTCTCCGATGAATTGCGGCTTAAGAGTTTCCGAAGGCAATGAAGTTTGGTGAGTGCAGCTGTGATACCCTGAAAATTTAAACAAAAATAAAAGAAATAAATGAATATAAAAAAAATGTCAGATAAAATATATGTGACAGAGTGGGTAAAAATAAATATTAATTCAGGTGTTATAAGTAATGTTTTGTAAGAGGTCATAGTTATACATATGACATAAATAATAAAATTGACATTTCAACAATTTAATAATACGTGTACAACAATACACCAAGTATCATCATACAAAAATAAATGTTAAAAGAGTTGACTTTTCAAGTCTAATAAAGAGTACTACATATAATAATAATCTAGCCGTATTACCAATAGTATATTACACATGCAATAATATAAGGTACAACAATAATATAGAGAAGCCATGATATAGACGTAGTACATTAATAATATATTACACACAACTACTACCATAAGTATCCACATGGGCATGTTCAAGTTGATTGGAAGAGGCCAAAACCTTCGGCTGAAATGAAACGAGGCAACGTGGAGAGTTAGATTAGAATTCAAACTCTTATACTATTTATACTCTGTATAATTCATTTGCTTGAATAAAAGTAAAAATATACATTCATATATGAAGTCTATATATCTGTATGTATGTATATGAACACATACGAACTAAAGAGTGAAAAAGGGAGTGGAATATCGGGGTGGCTGCGTAGCTACGGGTCGAACCCCCACTAGATCACCATGAAAACGATGCTCGTCGGGAGCGTGAAAAGGCACCGCGGGACGCCACTGGACGCCAGAGGGAAAGGGAGAACTCGCCGGAGAAGAGACCCACTTGTTTCGCCGGACTGTCGGACCTCATCCTTGCCGTAGGAGACGACAAGGCCGCAGCCTTTGATCGCCAGAGTCGTTGTTGTCTGTCACCGGTCAAAGAAACGGCTGCAAACATCGGACGTCCCTGCTCCTTGTTCCGACGAAGAAGACTATTCCTGCATGCAGTAACCATCTATCTATCTCTTTTAATTTGGTTATTTACTTTTGATAACAATGATAATAATAAATAGTAATTATAATGATGATAGGGATAAAAGTGATAATGGTAATAGAAATAACTGGGAAGGAGAATCTTAATATGGAATATGTTGGTAATATTCGCTTTTACTAAAATTGTCATTATTTAATTAGGATGATTATATAAGGTAAAATAAGATGAATTGAATTAAGTTAACGGACTAGTAAGTGACCAAAACAATAAATTGACTAAGTGATACGACCGGGCTGATTATTAATATTTAATATGGATTATTTGGACCACCTTAAATCAGATTAACCAAAGCCATAATAACTAATAACAAAGGTTTGGTTAATGATTAATGAATTATATGGATTGATTATTTGTGAATAAAATTAATAACACTAGATTATAATGAATTAACAAACGTTATTAAGTCTTAATCTCGTACATTGATTATTAAGTAGAAATTTGAGATGAAGTATTAAAATAATAAAAGGCTAGTTATATACTTAAACGGGTCTCGTAAATGAATATTTATAGATGAAGTAATTAGTGGAATAGACTAAATAGAGTGGATCTATTAAATTATTAGTCAAGACTAAAGATGGAATAAATTAACAAATGGTACGGTGTTAAGTAAATTAAAAATTATAGAAACAGGGTAAATTGGGTAAGTTATGTAATAAGGGACTGATTTTGAAATATTAATTAAAAGGTGATTATTTAGAGACCAAGTTAGAAGAAGTGAACTAGGAGCATCAGGACTTAAGGTAAGTTTCTCTGCCGATCCAAAATTGTTTCCTCGTATTATATGCTTATTATGCATTACGTGATTAAGTGTGAATTTTGAATTGTGTGTATGTGATTTTGAGGAGATATTAGATCTATGGTATTTGAGAAGTGCAAACTAAGTACTTTTGGGTATTAAATGTTTTTAAATACCTTTGAGACTATTTAGAGAGATTGAGAAATATTTTTGGAAGTATATCTAAAGTCAAGATAAAATTTACGTTTTTATAAGAAGTGAGCACCCGGGAGAAATCCGTGGTGTCGGTTTTCCACATCCGGATAAATGTGGAGGGTGATTAAGGCTACTACTACTAAGAAGTACATTTTGAGTTTGAAGTGACGTTTGGATCTATGGTCCCTTTTAAGAAGAAGTTATAGTAGTAGTCCCTAATCATTCAAGAACTTTAAAGGTGGGGTAGTTGGTAGACTGAGTCCCGATTACTCGTGACGACTTACTACTCGGAGAGCTTGAAATCCCTTTTAGGGGGTGTGCACACTTAAGGTAGTCGTTTCGTTTCCGCAAGAGCAGTTGTGGTACCGACACTTGTTCGGGGTGGCCGTCCGTAACCACGGTTCACCGGGCTCAGTCAAAAGGTTGAGCACCGCCCTTCTAAATTAATAGGAAGTTAGAGAAGAAGATTTTATTTTGAGAAGTTCAAAGAGAAGAGTTACTATAATACGGAGTATTTTTGAAGAAAAGTTGTGGATTTTAGTAAAGAAGTGATTTTGAGATAAATCAAAGAGAAAAGAATTTTGGGGGAGTGTGTTATTTTTATATAGTATTATATGAAAATCTATTTTCGCCAAACTTGATTATTTTACGGGGTTGGGTAGTACTTACTTAGCTCTAAAGATAATTTTTGTTTCCTTTTCTTTGTTTTGTTTTCTGCACTTTATTTGTGCAGGTAATGATGACTATGTTGATTGATGATTGCATGCGCCTGAGAGCGGACTAGAGATGCCTTAGAAAAACGTAGTCAAGAATAAACATTTTAATTATGTCAAATATTTGTTTTACTCTGTTTTGTTTTGGGATTGCCTGTGCATTCGGTTAAGAGATGACCGGATGTGGCGGTAACACCCATTTCCCATTTAATGATATTTCCGTTGCAGAACTTTTTATCTATTTTGAATGAATAAATCAAGTTTATTATCAATAAATCTATTATTTCAAGTATTATTTTGGGAGGGAAAATGGGGGTGTTACAGCAGCGAAGTACGGTCTCAGTATCGTCGGGGCGCAGCAATCCAGTTGAGAAGGTCAACAAAGTCCAGGGAGAGGTACGGCTCTCCTCGTGCAGTGGACGAGCAGGCCCCGGTTGCAAAGCCTTAGATGGAGAATATCGTCACTCAGTATGACAATATGGTCATTGATGGGGATGATGAGGAGTTGGTGTTCAAAGATGATAGAAGGTGTAGTGGATATTGCAGACGAGCGAAGGGCAGTGTTTTTGGTGGTAGGCACACTACTCATAGAGCGAATGATAAAGTTCCATATTTTCAAAGATCCTATGACCTCACTTTGGCGTCCCGGAAAAGGTGTGTCAATCAAGGAGATCGGCGAAAAGAGGTACATGTTCACTTTTTACCATACTGTTGATATGTGATGTGTGTTAGAAAGTGGTCCATGATTGTTTGAACAAAATTTGTTGATTCTAAAAGAAATTAGGCTGGGGGGACATTACTCCTAAGGTCAGTCTGAATGAGGCTGAATTCTGGGTCCAGGTGTATCACGTACCTTATGGATATATGAATCTAGGTATAGCTATGAGGATTGGTTATTTTATTGGAAAATTTATTAGTTTTGATCAGAGTCCTTTTGAAGGAAAATTTATTAGTTTTGATCAGAGTCAGTTTGTGCTTTGTCTATCGTGTTATTGGCCATGCTGACAGGTTTTTCCCTTTAACATATGAGTGTGATAATAAATTAAAGTTTTGGGAAAATCTTATGGTGTGGAGCTCAGAGTAGGAGGAGAGGGGAAGCTGTAGGGTGTGTTTCGGAAAATAAAGAAAATTAATTAAAATAAATTAATTAAAAATGACGAAAGAAAACAAGAAAAGAGATGGAGCAGAATTTAGTCAAAGCTCGTGCTACGCACGATGTCCTTAAAACGTATTTGTTGCCTCCCACGGAATCTTAACTCCTTAAGGGGGGGAGTCCCTTTATAAAGGGTTGCAAATCCCTTGGGTTTTTCGGTGTGGGAAATTAACACTAGAAACCCATCCTTTTTCCCGGTTTTTCCATTCTAACGGGTAAACTTCGAAAAGCGATTTCTCATTCACCCGTTATCCGTTTTGAGCGTACTATATATCGAATTGTAGCCCTTAACAAGGACAATCCGAAACCATTTTGATCCGACCCAAATCGAAAATGGACCCCACTCAAAAAATTGCCCCAAAATAGCCATTTAATGCAATTTTTCACACATTTTTCCAACAGAAGCCTTGTCCTCGAGGGGGAAACAAGCAGTAGAATGTTGCTCAGAGCAGTGATGGAGGAATGGAAGTAGCGACACAGATCTGGATTGTTACTATGTCTAACCCCGGGAAGACTACATTAGTAGGAGGTAGTTTTGTTGATGCAAAGGAGGTATCGGGTGACCGGAAGAGCATGAGGCTATGAGAGGAGCGAAAGCAAGAAGACGCAAGTGGCGAGGACATGACTCTGAATAAACCAAAAAATAGGGAGGAGGCGGGTGCTAGACACCAGACTTGCCGGGAATTTTAAAGAAGACTCATGATTGGTCCGGGGCATGGAGGGTCCTCGTGATTCCGTGATTCCGAGGACGACACATCAGTTTAATTTTGCTATCTTTATTTTTGCCATATACTTTGATCAGACTGTTGTTATTTTTGATTTTTATTTCTCTTTTTGTAGGACTCTTTTATTAGGATTGCGTGATGAAATGTCTGCTTTGATCGTCTTTGACTCGATCAGTCATGTCCAATTGTCCATTACAGAATCGGCGAGTCATATTGCTTTCATGAAGGTGATTGACTCTAAGTCTTGTTCGAGGGCTGGAGGTTGGGCGTTGTTCTTTTGTCTGTTTGTTCGCTATTTGAATGTGATGATATCAATTTAAGTCTCCTTCCAAAAAAAATATGCAGTATATAATTAATCATAATGCCTAAGATTTTGATGCATTTTTTTTAACAACATAAAAGCATCTCCAATGTTATTCTTTTGACAAAGTAAAAATTTACCACATCACCAATTTCAAGTGTGTGGTGAATACCTCATCTTCAATTCATTCTTTTAGGGGCCCTTTTAACGTGACATTGCACCAACACAGTCCTCCTCTCCATTAAACTTTCGAAAGATCTTTTAACGCCTTGACGGCTCCTGCTAATGACAAGTCCTTTGAAAAAAGTAACGCTCACTTAGAGGCCGTTTGGTTACTTTCGTAATCCTGTTTTTCGGCTTATCAGTAATTTTTTCACCAAACACGTAAGTTTGATTTCACACTCTTAATTGTGTAATAATAAGAAAAAGTAAGGTTGAAATTACTTTTCTAGCTGTATTGGCTGAAATTCTGTAGAGGGTCATTTTAACTATTTTTCATATAATTTTTCTTTATTACTCCCTCCGTCCCGCTATTAACTTCCTACTTTCCTTTTTGGGCCGTCCCAAAATAATCTTCTCATTTCCCTAAATGGAAAGTTATCCTACATCAAAACAGTGTCAAACAGTGCAAAACAGTGCCAAACAGTGTCTAAACAGTGTCAAACAGTGTCTAAATAGTGCCAAACAGTGTCTAAACAGTAAAGTCAAATTTATTTCCTAAATATGTGTGTAGGTCAAAGAAAGAACTTAATAGAGGGACGGAGGGAGTATATTTATAAAATATTATTTTTCATAAATCAGCACAATTAGCCAATCCAGCCACTTCAGCCAAAACTCCATAAATTTCAGCAATATCAGTTGATTCAACCAATTTTGATTTTACCAAACAGGCTGATATTCGTGTAATTTCTGATTATATGTTTGTATTTTTAACTAGTTTTTATTACTTCTAGCTGTGGAAATTACACACTTTTGGTGTAATACTTTATTTTCATTGTTTATTTGTAATTTGTTTAGATTAGGATTATTCTGAGCTAAACAGGTCAAAGATCATTCAAGAGATCAAGATTGGACCTTAAAAGATCAAGGAGGCAAGAAAGATTTCGATTTGGAAAAAATATTCATGTACCCGGTCGGGTATTGCCTATACCCGATCGGGTATTTGATTGATTCGATCGTCCAAATCAAATCCGGGAACAAATGATCGTGGGAGCGAATTTTCGTGAAGATTTGTCACATACCCGATCGGGTATGCCAACATACCCGATCGGGTATGCCCAGAAAAGTGACTTTCTGGCTAATTTCGTAATATACCCGGTCGGGTATCCTATATATCCGGTCGGGTATCAGACCCTGCAGCTCCCAAAAGCCTATAAATACACCATTTTCCTTCCCAATAAAATCACCAATTCACATATACTTCTAAGCTCAGTTTAGACAAGTTATTTCTTTATATTTTCTTCATGTTTAGTCTCCAAATGAGGGGCTAATAAACTCTTCCATCTTGGTTTTGCTACTTTGAAGCTTAATGAATTGTAAGTTGTGAGTTATTTTCTTTAATCTTCTTCCTTGAATATTAATTAATTCCTATGGTTAATAATAATTGCGTCTCATGGTTAATAACCGAAGGGGAATTAATTATATTGATTAAACCGATAAACCGCTTGTGTTGAGGTTATCAATCTCAATCGTTTTCATATTGATTTTATTGCTACTATCGGGTTAATATACAGCGCGTGTTCTATATTGACTCGGTAGTAAGTTTTATTAATGAACGCGTCTCGTTATTAATAACTACCCCTTGATGAATTGAATATATTCCTCGATTGAGTATTCGAGAGGAAGATAATTAAAGATATAACTGGGATCGACGAACATTTCATTAAGTGGATAAAAGCAAAGCCAAGTCTTCATCTCTAGTAAGTAAACCACATAAGTCGTTCATCTTCGTGTTTAATTAATTAAATCAAAACAATCTACCCCCCCTGTAACACTTGAGATTTAATATAAATGGATTAATAGTAATACTCATGCCAACAAGATGCATCTCCTTTTAAGGGAGCTCATTAGCCAAGAACTCCAAAGTTAAGCGTGCTTGCACGGGAGTAGTCTTGAGATGGGTGACCCCCTGGTAAGTTTCTCAGGGCGCGCACGAGTGAGGACAAAGTGCGCGTAAAAGGCTAGTGGCGGTTTGTGAGGACAGTACTAGAGGTCTGGAGTAACTACTTCGGGTCCTGCAGGACCGGGGTGTTACAGGTGGTATCAGAGCAACCCTGCGACAGTGTGCTGATCCGTTGGATATCGGGCAGACACCTAGCAGGGGAAAAGATTTTGGGATTTGATTGAGATTGGTTTAAGGGCGCAACGAGGACGTTGCGATCCTAAGTGGGGGTGATTGTAACACTTGAGATTTAATATAAATGGATTAATAGTACTACTCATGCCAACAAGATGCATCTCCTTTTAAGTGAGCTCATTAGCCAAGAACTCCAAAGTTAAGCGTGCTTGCACGGGAGTAGTCTTGAGATGGGTGACCCCCTGGGAAGTTTCTCAGGGCGCGCACGAGTGAGGACAAAGTGCGCGTAAAAGGCTAGTGGCGGTTTGTGAGGACAGTACTAGAGGTCTGGAGTAACTACTTCGGGTCCTGCAGGACCGGGGTGTTACACCCCCCCCCCCCCCCCGTTACTTATTTCTAGTTTTGTAAATAGAGAAGTATTCATTTCCATGTGGATACGAACCTTACTTCATTATACTACGTATAATTGTTGTATTGTATTATTACTTTGGGTGCAAATCACGACAAAGTGCATGTCACATTTGGCGCCGTTGCCGGGGAAAGGCAATAATTTTTCTTTTTCTTTTTATTTCAAGAAAAAATAAAAAACTACTACGTATATAATAAATAAAAGTATAAAGAGTTCTTACTTTTCTATTTTCTGAGCTTACATGAATGTATGGATACCAACATATCATCCCTAGAGAGTCAAATTTCCTTCTTGACTTCTCTAATAGAGGAGTTTATTTTATGTTCAAAATCTCAAGATGTCCAAACATGCAACATTTGCATGTCTCACAGGCATCTTACGGATTTTTTCCCGAAGCTCCAAGAAGAATACTTTCAACAAATTGATGATGTTGGTTTCCAAGGGAAAATATCTCAAAGGAGATATGATCTGTTCTCCAACACATATAATCCAGGAAGGAGAGATCATATGTACTCAAATTCTTATTCTAGTATGTCCACTGAAGACATGATCCGAGCTCTCACTATCGACGTGACGAGTATGCAAAGAGATGTGTCACAATGCCTGCAAGAAACAGTGTCCAACGAACAGAACTTGGAGAATCAATTGAAACAAGTGCCAAGCATTGTGAACCACTTTGGCGAGGAGGAGGAAGAAGAGGAGCTTATGGAGAAAGCTCAACCGGAGGAGGAGGAGCAACCTCAAAACTCAACTCCACCACCGGCCATTCCTGAAATCACGCCACCATTTCGTGAGGCTCTAAGGGAAACACAAAGGGTGGAGAACGACAAAAACATCTACGAAATCTTCAGCAATTGTGAGTATCATTTAGATTTCTCTTTGTTCACAAATATGCAGGGAATAACGGTGGAGTTACACAAACATTTCATACTCCCTCTTATACCACCCAAATAAAAACCTCTTCGATTGACCATGCTAAGTGAAAATCATGGACCCTCACTCTCACAATATGAAGTGATAGAAATCCGGATATTTGATCCCGGAAAGATTGTCAAAATAAAGAGTCGAAAAATTGAGCCTTTCTATAAGAGTCACCTGGGTGAAAATGTGAAGAAGAGGGATCATCACGATCCAAGCCTAAATGACTGAAATTAAAAAAGATGGTGTCGTGCCATGACATTAAATAAGGCGCTTTTTGGGAGGCAACCTAAGCGAGGTACATCATTGTGTGTTTATTTTATTTTTTTCTTTTTCTTTCCCCTACACAACCTCCTTTTCACCTCTTTTCATCTTTAATCTTTCAAACCACCATCCAACTCCACCCCAATCACCCCAACCCTCATAACCATATCCTTCTTTCCTTAAAAATCTATCCAAATCCTCCACCAAACCCCACACACAAAACAATCATCATCTTGTTCTTTTCACTTTCTTCTTACTCCACATACCCTCTAATACATAAACTCTTACACTCACCCCTCTCCCAAACCACAATTTTATATCTTCAAAAAAACTCAAAAAAAAGTGATTAATGTTTCTACCTTGTAACTTGCATTATTTTCTTCACAAAAAAAAAATAAAAGAAGAGAAATGCTAGTTAGGTTGAAAACCCAAAAATGGGTAAGCTAAGCAAAAAGTGCTTATAAAAAAATGAGTGAGTTGGAAAGGATGGAAAAACAAAAAGAGATGCTACGATGAAAACCTGAAAAGGCTGCTAGGCAAAATGAGAGATATGAGAGATATATTTGTGTTTTCAGAACATCATTTAATCTCTCGATGGAAAAGAAGAATAAAAGAGGTGAAGAAAAAATGAGCATAGAAGGCCATGAAACCCAAGAAGATGTTATTTTTTTATTGAGCTAAAAACTCAATGTAAAAAACATGTTTTATCCTTGGTGGTCTTTTGCTCTTTCTTGTTGACTATTGAGAACTTGGAACTGTTAAACATTTGACTTTACACGAGGACGAGTAAAGAAGCTAAGTGTGGGGGAGTTGATATTCGTGTAATTTCTGATTATATGTTTGTATTTTTAACTAGTTTTTATTAGTTATAGTTGTGGAAATTACACACTTTTGGTGTAATACTTTATTTTCATTTTTTATTTGTAATTTGTTTAGATTATGATTATTCTGAGCTAAACGGGTCAAAGATCATTCAAGACATCAAGATTGGACCTTAAAAGATCAAGGAAAGTGCAAGGAGGCAAGAAAGATTTCGATTTGGAAAAAATATTCATGTACCCGGTCGGGTATTGCCTATATCCGATCGGGTATTTGATTGATTCGATTGTCCAAATCAAATCCGGGAACAAATGATCGTG